AACAATTAGTTTAATTAACAGTGTGAAAAATAAGAAAGGAACTTAGATAAAACTTAAATTTCTCATCTTCATGCAGAGATAGATTTAAACATTGCTCTTCCTGAAGTCATCTTTGCCATTTTAAACTTTATTTTGTTTTTAGACATTACTTTAGAGCAGAGTCTATTATCTTAGTATATGACAGGATAGAAATAAACTTGGAAAACAAATAAAAGTGCTCTACCTCTTCTGGGAATTCCTCGCTGACAAGAGACATAATTAGTGATGTCTTCCCAACTCTGGCTGCAAAAGCATTAAGAACAGATATTAGATAATTTATTTTGTTACACTTAACAGCTGCACCCCATCTTAATATGGGAAGATTTTAAAAATATTTTCCAATTCACTACATTAAAAGCTTTAAAGCTATTGTTTAATGATATTAAATATGGACAACAGCAATTTTCTCATAATTCTTTTATTGCAAACACTTGGGTTCCATCTTTCACTTCTGTATTTCCTCCAGAAGGGAAGTGAATTCTGCTCTGCCTTACACAGAAGAATTGCCAGGTTTTAACCTTAACACAGAACATTTAAAGAAATAATTAAAATTAACTAGAAACACTCTAATGCAACTTCAGAAATAAAACAAAGAATGCACACAGAAAATCATGCAGAAATTAACTGTTTTTATAGAAATCTTGAGATGATGATTGCACTTTAAACCTAAAATCCCAAGGATGAGAGCTGGACAAGAGGACATGAACCAAGTCTGCAGTACTTTGGCTACTTTGAAAGTGCAAGAGCTTGATCCCTTTGATACAAATGAGCTGTCCCCCACTAAAAGTGAAACATACCCCAAACCACCGACCCTAAAGTCACAGTTTTCTTAATCCAAGATGAGCATCTCAGCTTCAGTACCCAACACCATTCAATCAAATAAATGACTTTGTTTACCTGCAACGTTCAGACTTCTGATACCACAACTCAGTTGCTGGTTTTGACAAGCTCTAATGTGACCACTTAAAACCAAGAACTGGTAACTTCTCTCAGGGTTCCACTCTCTCCAAACCCCCTCATCTGTGAATTTTCTGGTCCTCTGGCAGCCTTGTAGGACTATTACTGCTTTATTTGGTTTTGAGACATTTCTTAAAAACCAACATGTTCACATTCAAATATCCTCTGGGAGCTCTCAATTGAAGCACACCTCAATTTCACCCTGGGGGTACCAGCAGCTCTGGCAGCAGGAATGTGTTACCAGCCAAGGCACTGCTCAGCAGCAGACAGAGCCTGTGTCACTGCTCCTACTGAAACCAACGGAAAATGTCACCAGGGGACGAAGGTTCAGCTGGTATCACTGCACTTACACTTCTCTGTGGCACTCTACAGAACTCTGAACATGGAAGATGAACAGGTATGATTGTACCACTGGCTGATTTTGTGCAGGAATTGGTGTTACTGAACTGATCATCCAGTCAGAGTACACTCAACTTATCTAGGTCTATTTCTGGCACAATAACATCTTCTGACATCCAGAAATAAATCCTTCTCTTTAACTTAGCATGACGAAGAGTTGTAAGAGAATTCTAAAAAGTGAAGAAAAGCTGTTCTGAGGAGGAAGATTTCTGTCTTCCTTACAGAGAACAGCTGTAAGCTTTGCCCCTGTGGTGCTCCCTGCAGAGCAGCAGGTTGCAGGTTTCCCAACAGCAATGCAGTTGTGTTTCCATCAAAGGTACCAAATGAGCTAAAATCCTAACTTACAGCTGCCAGGCATCCTCCTGCATCAACTCCATTTTAATTTTCATCCTGACAGAACTGAAAGAGCTTCAGAAACTCCTATTTCCACAGGGGAAAAAAGATGAGTACTTTCCTTATAGGTGAGTAAAGTTACTAATTAGTGAAAGTAGTGATGTGTGTTTTGCACCTGACCAAGACAGTTCTGACTTCAAACAGTGGCAGAACTGGTTTTGCAGATATAGAAACCCACTTCTTGTGTCTGAAAATAGAAGATTAAGCATTGCTGGTGAGTAAATGTTCAGTATTTAGAAGCTCTTGATACACTTTCTAGTGCCCTTGGGTTTCATGAAAATCCATAGGTTCTAGTAGAGATTTAGGTTATTTTGTTCAAATCTAGGTCATCCCTCTGTCTTTCCCAATATGTTCATAGTCTTAGAAATAACAGCCTAAACAGTATCAGCTGACTGGGATGAAGAAAAGCAGCACAGCACCTTATCAAAATTCGTCTTTTTCCTCATATATAAGTCTTTTACATCATGCTAAACATACTGAACACATTCTGAAAACTACTGCCTATTAAAAATGGATGTTTGCACCCTGCATACGAGGACTAAACTTAAACCTAAACTGTGGACCACTGGGGATGAAAAAGGCTGAGCTTTGGAACAGCCTTACAATAAAGAGATCTTGGCATGTTTCAGATTCTGAACCTGATGGTCTGCTGTTGCCATCTAAAAAGTTTTATATGGTCTGGACTAACTTGTGGTTCCAGACTAATAAATATACATGAGACACACACAAAGCAGGACTGGCACTGTAACTGACAAGTTTTACCAATTTGTAAAACAAATTTCTCCCTCCTCCTCACTAAAAGAAGTGTAACAAAGAGAAATGTAACATAGTGTTGTTACACTCAAAGAGAAGTGTAACACAGAGATGCCCACGATCTCTGATGTGTGCCCTGGACTACACATTGTGCATTGTATCTTTAACTTTCCTGTTTGGGCACACTGTGAACCTTGCTGCCAAAACAAGGTACCTGTTACACCTGCGCTGAAACCACTGCACCCAGCCAGCCCAAAACACAGCCTTGGCAAAGACAAGGAGCTAAATCAGGCATGTGCTAAAGAGGAATTAAACTGTGTGTTAAAGGCACAATTCCCAAACACAGTCATGCAAAACTAACCAAATACAATCTTAATGAGTTTGCTCTTTCTGCACAGTGACAGCTCCCTCAAGATTCCTCTCTGGAAGAGTCACAGAGAGCCTTTCCATGCAGTACAGACAGAGCCAACCTGCACTATAAAACACCATAAACTGCACTATAAATATATATGGGGCATTCAATCCTCAGGAAAGCTTTGTTAGCAGCACCACATTCTTAGTATAACTAGGTAATTTTACTAATAACCCTTGGTAATTACTCTGTATTCTTTCCCCTCGGGGAACTTAAGCTCTCTTTGCAAACCAACAGAAGGTATAAACCTCCTCTTTGCTGTTTATACCGATGAGAAGCTGAGCCTCTGCAAGCCTTGTCCATTATTTGTGTACCTAAGCGTGAACTTCAGGACACAATTTTAGGAACACGTGAAAAAATTCAGACCCACAGTAGCTCCGGCATGCACCTTCCTGTGTGCTGTTTATCCAAGGTCACACAGAAAGTTAAAAGTAAAAAAAGGGATCTGTGGCCCTGTCCTGGGCACAAACCCACAGCACCCGGGAGCACATCAGGCCACTGACATCCAAAGTCAGTAAATGGGAAACGGGAAAGTGTGATTTGCACACGGGGAAAAAAAGAAAAAAATAATAGAAATTAAGAAATAAAAGAAAAAGAAACCCAAAAGTTTAAACCGGCCGTGGCCAAACGCCGGGCAAGGATTTCATGCCGGTGTCATCGCCAGGGTCGTGCAAGCCGCACGGCTCCACCGAGCGCCGGCCGTGCCGCTGCCCGCAGCAGGGCGCCGAGGGGCTCCGAGCGGTCACGGCGAGCCCGCCCGACCCCTGCCCGCCCCGAGGGGCCGGCGCTGCCCGGGGCTCCCGCCCGGGCCGGGCTGAGCCCCGCAGCACCGGGGCGATGTGACAGCCGGCGGCCCCCACCCTTCCCCGGCCCTCCTGCCTCGGCACTCACGTTCTCCCACCAGCAGGATCCGCACGTCCTTCTTCATGGCCGCGCTCGCTGCCCCCGGCCCGGGGCCGCTCACATCGGGCGGGGCGGCCGCGAGGGACCTGCCGCGAGCGGCGGCTGCGCGGGGCGGCGGCTGCGCCTGAGGGCGCGGGCGGGAGGCGGCGGCTCTGAGGGACAGCCGGGGCTCTCCGGGATCACAGAATCAGTGAGGGTGCAAAACACCGCCGAGAGCCTCCCGGCCAACCCCTGAGCCAACACCACCGCGCCAACCACACCGCGGCACCGAGACCAAGTCCCGGGTTCCCCTAAACGCCCCTAGGGAGGGTGACTGCAACCCGGGCAGCCGGCCCATGTTTAATCACCTACTCAGGAAACTCTCCCCAGTGTTCAAACAGTGACACAGGGGTTCCCACCTCACTGTGTGTTGTTGCTGTGATCCAAACCACAATAAATTGCTGCCCCTGGGTGCAACTCGTGTGTGGGAAATGAGGGACGGGCAGCGACTCCACGCTGGAGCTGCAATGTTTCTCCAGGTGAACCAGCAAAGGACACCTCAATACTAGGCGGCGGCTCTGAGGGACAGCCGGGGCTCTCCGGGATCACAGAATCAGTGAGGGTGCAAAACACCGCCGAGAGCCTCCCGGCCAACCCCTGAGCCAACACCACCGCGCCAACCACACCGCGGCACCGAGACCAAGTCCCGGGTTCCCCTACACGCCCCTAGGGAGGGTGACTGCAACCCGGGCAGCCGGCCCATGTTTAATCACCTACTCAGGAAACTCTCCCCAGTGTTCAAACAGTGACACAGGGGTTCCCACCTCACTGTGTGTTGTTGCTGTGATCCAAACCACAATAAATTGCTGCCCCTGGGTGCAACTCGTGTGTGGGAAATGAGGGACGGGCAGCGACTCCACGCTGGAGCTGCAATGTTTCTCCAGGTGAACCTGCAAAGGACACCTCAATACTAAGAAGGCAGTGGCTTTGGCTGTCCCAGGAAAGCCACCCCAGCCTCGGAGATGCTGAATGGCACAGCCCTGGCATCATACAAATGTGCCTTCAGGCCATCAGAGTGCTCAGTGGCAGCAGAGAGTGACTGAAGGCGAGCAGCACTTCTGGCAATTGCTTTAAAACACAAGGAGCTCCATTGCACTAAATGAGATAGTTGAATCCCACATGCTTTATTCATGATAAACTATTTATTTTGTCAATTCTGGAATGCCACAGTCTTCCTGAAAAAGCTTTTGCTTCTTGGGAATGCCGTTTTGTTTCCGGCATGAAGCAGTGGATCTCTCAGAATAAAAGTTGTCCGTAGGTTTTGTGGGACTTCAGCTCTGGTTCCTTCACCTGCCACAGGCAACTGAGAACCTCTTGCTTCGTCTCAGGCTCGCTGGCAAGACCAGATGGTCCCTCCCATGACAGAGTCGTTTTTGCAGGCCCTTTAAAGGGCACTAAAGTGACCACATAATTTATTAACTGGTATAAACACACCCCAACATCTGCTTCCACAAGCATGCCCACAGTCACACCACACCAGGACTGACAACCCTTTGGCCAGGGCAAGACTAAAATATGGTTCTGGGGAGATGATGTTCTTCTGGGACACCTCCCTGAAGTTGAAGTATCAGGTCCTCAAATGCAAAGCCTATTTCATAGTTAGTGCCTACCCTAAAGGGAAAGATTTTCATACCTAAGATCAGTAACCCTCTCACCCTCTGAGCATTCCTTAATCAATCAGAGCTGTCTAAAGAAAACTCACTTGTCAGAAAGTTAACAGCATAATCTGTTCTCCTGTATTTTTTTATATCAATATAGGAAAAAAAAAAAAAATTTTTTTAGGTCAATTTAGGAAAAATACAGGTCAATGAGAAAGGCTTATCCCCAACATTAGAGCTTCCTTAGGCCACTCTTTCCTAGGAATATCCTGGGACAAAAAGCTGCTTGAGAAACCCACCTGACTCCTACAGAGGTGGTTACTGCCTTTAGCATGGGCTGAAATTGCTTTAATGAACCATGGCTGGACCAGAGCACAGCATGAAGAGAAGCAGAGCAGACAGAAGTGTCAGTGGCTGATTCCCAGGAAAGCCTGGGTAGTTATGCATTCATTCCTTGGTACGCTCCTGTGCTAAACACTGAGGCTTTTATAGAAACTCTGCAGCCATTGGCAAAATTGTCCCTGTTCTCAGTAGTTTTATCTCCTGTTTGGCTGACTTATAGTTAAAGATCCATTTTTTTCTAGAGTGTACAGCCAGAAAGCAGGGTAGAGAGGATGTGAGGTACTGATTTCAAAGGTGTGCAAAAGCATTTCTTTGTCATCGATGGAGTAAAATGACACAGTCTTCTTTTGTAGCTCCAGGAAAACTCCAACCTTCAGTGGTTTGTCCTTGTGCAATAATGTTTCTTGATCCTTATGCCATGCTGACAGCTGTTTTCTAGGACCCAGCCATTCCACACACCAGGAATGCTCAGTTCTTCCCAATTTTTCCTTTTTACCAATCGTTTCATGAGCAACTCCAACAGCCCATCCATCACTGTCCTTGGTAATGACTTCCCAGTAGTGGCACCCAGTAGAGAAGCCCTGTGAACACAGGACTTGGCTGATGCAGAATCTTTTGGCTGATGGCTGGTAAGTGGTGAGGTGGCTGGAAACCATCACTCTCCTGTTCTGGGCTGTGAGTGCCAAGCGCTCGTGTACCCGTGTGGGGTCAAAAGTCACATCATCTGCCCCTGGAAGACAGAAAGGAAAATATTCCATATGCAGGCAACAGGAAGGCAGGTGTATCCCTGCTCCAGAAGAGAGATGAAACCCAATGATCAAGCCATAAACCTGAATCAAAGTTCAAAAATCCTCAACCAAGCACTATCAACTGTATCCTGGGCATACTGAAACATTCAACAGGCACAACTGTGTAAATATCCATGACAGACTCATATGCACTCCAGTGGAAAGGTGAAAGTACCTTGCACCCTAAAAGATGGATTTTATTCCCAGCCACAATCTTTTTTTTAAAAATTACCTTTTTTGTCAATAATAAATGGGATGCTTACCTTCATAAAGCTTACAGTCATCTGTTCACTGGGACAAGTTCTTATATATTTTATCAGCAAAAGCATTTGTTTTCTGTGTTTACAACCAGTGTGCTGATTGTAAAAATGTTTCTGTCAAAATGTTGCAGAACTCAAGTAACAGAACTGGAGTAACAACAGCTTAACAGCAAAGATCAGTGAGGTGCAGTAACTGCCTGTACACCAGCTCAGACTCCACAGCCAGAACAAGCCACCACACAGCTCACAAGAACAGGTTTCTTATCTCTTTTTTATCCTACATGCGCAGTCAGGTACAATGTTACATCATGTGTCAGTAACTCATTCATTCATGGCAACTCCATTGTGTTTCCATGCTTCAGTAAACAGCCACATTTCCTGCTGGTGTTGGCAAGGACAATTTTCTTCAGCAAATTCAGTCTCAGGGTCCCCTGGATGTGGTTAAGAGTCCTGCTGGCTTGGATACTTACACTGAGAAAACTGGCTGGAAATGCTTGGTTCAGGACTTTCAGCTGCAGGCTCTGGAGATGATGAGCTGCCACTTGGCTCCTGGTGTAAGTCTGGAAGATGCACTAAATACAAAAATAAGTGAAGTGTTAAGGCATTTCTTCAAAATGTACACAGGAAGTATTTAAGCTTCTAAAGGAAAACACACCTTAAATAAACCCAGCTACTTGTTCAAGTGCAAAACAAGGAGTTGCTTTTTTTGATTGCATAAATTACAAAGGATGTCAGGCACATAGGCAAACCCAAAATTAACAAACACCTTATGCTGGTGTGGTCAGAGGGGAACTGTCAGAAGAGTGAGATGGGTAAAGCAGATGAATCGTTCTATGCAGATAAAGCAGTTCCTGTCTTAAAAACTTTTACAGTGTTCTTTAGTTTTTCACTGAGTATTTTGTGTTTCTTGTTTTATTTGCACAAAGTAATTTTTTACTCTATTTGCTAGAGCCGCCTGCCTTTAAGAAAAAAAATTCAAAATAAGGGAAACTCACCTGGTGGGAGTTGCTGAGCATAATTCTCCAAGAGTAAAATTTCCAACTTTCTCTTAAGATCTTCTACAGCACTTTTGACAACATTAAGCTTTTCATCAAGTGTAATTTTATTTATTGTCAAAGGTGAGCCTTCGCACCTCTGCCCCTCACATAAGTCTCTCTAATAATGACAAAAGGATTAAGAGAAAGATGTAAACAGCAGCAGTTATTGAATTTCACAGATCAGATTATAATATAAAGCCCAATTGGAAAAAGAGCAGTGATCTCTCCAAGAATCTTATTCTTTGTATCAAAATTTTCCTTTATAGGACAGTTACCTGAGGAAACCAGCCTAAAATCTCACAGAAAATAGTGAAGGATATTCTTATTAAAAAATAAAAAGACTGTGTTTTCCTCAAGAAAACCAAGAATGCAAGTAATTTTTCTTGTATATATATATATTACAACTTCCTTAAGTATTCATATGAATAGACCAGTTTTTTTTAAACTTCCTTCTTCTTCTCAAACCGAAACCAAAAGTTTGAAAATGTATTAGTGTGAGGAAAGGGTAAACCTAGCTTGCCTAAATTTAGAACTTGTGGAAATCTACATCTGAAATTGCTCTATTAGTCTGTGTGTACAGTCTGTAGGAGCAAACAGCCTTTTGGAGGCTGGGTTAATCTCCTTTGCAGGCAGATATCTCAAGTAGGCCAGATAACACTGAAAGTACTCATTTCTCCTCACTGTAATGGGACCCTGGATCAGGTGAATTCCAGTGTGGGCACCTGTGCTTGGGTTCTGAAGTCAAATTCTGCCTCATGGCACTGCCCCACCCAGTGAGCCCCACTCCAAATTCCTGCTGGCTGACTTGCATCACTTGGCACTGTTGTTTCCAACATCAAACCCAGCTCTGCACAATCTGAAGTGCTTTAACTGCGCCTTTTGAGGGCTCTTGATGTGTTTTCCACAAGAAAACTCTCAAAAAGTATTTAATAACTCTGAGTTTTTCAACTTGCATACCTGTGTGTAAACACAAATTCTGAAATCATGAAAGACCCTGACTTTAGATTTGACTGAGGACTGGATTTCAGCCCTGCTGCTCCCACTTCATTCCAGCTCACCAATACTCTTGGAAAAAATCTAGTTCTGAATTCCATTCCCAGCCTGTGCCTCTCTCAGTAATTTTTTTCCTCTGAATTTCTCACCCCAAACTCCCCCTGCTGACAGCAAAGTCCATGGATTGGCACCATTGTCTCTATGAGAATGGTGCACTGGGGACCTCAAAGGTGCTCTGCACCTATTCAGCTATCCCAGACAGTGAGCTTGAGTTTCTACTCATGTTCACCACCTCATTTCATCACTTACAGTTTGGGCTTTGATGTCTGTGAGCTGGTGAATAGTTTCTTCAATTTTCTGTTGAGCAGCTTTTTGCTGTTGTTCAATGAGCATCAGTGTGTTTCTCTCCTGTCTTTCAACATATTCCTTCATGCAACAGAAATCTTTAATAATCTGGCTTTTGATCTGAGATGTATATTCCTGAAAGGCAGAAAATATGAAGATCATTGTGTAGTTAGGAAAGATGCATTGAATATGAGAATTACTGCCTCATCCAATGTGCTCTTTGACTGACCCCTGCAGATGAGAAAACTTTATTCAAAGGAATAAAATACATTTGACACCATCCTACATTACATGAAATGAGATTTTTGGCATGTTAAGGATTATGAATATTTTATGGCCACTGGAGTCTGCTTGACAACTCAGAAAGCTCAATACTCCCTCTTATGATTTCTAATTTATATCTAAGTGTACCAGAAACATTCAGGCTACTCCTGGGATAAGCAGAAAAATGCAACAATGCACAATTCCAGTGGCCTTTGTGCCAGCCAAGACACAAATTAGTGCAACTGATGCCATACATTCATTCTCATCAGTAAAAACAGAATTGTGACAGAAAAGAAAGAAACAAAAAGGCAGATTCCAGCTCTGAGTGGGAAGGCAACCCTGCAGTCAACCCACAACAGTAGAAAGTTACTGTGGGTGATGATTGTACAATGTTTACCTTTGTTTTATCGAGATCTTTCCTCAACAGGTGGATGGTCTCTGCAGTTATTTCTTGTTGCTTAGAGCTCTCCCATATCTCTTCCTCCTTTAAAGTGACACATTGGACTATTTATCTATATAAACCTCAGAGAAAGCATAACTAGGCTAAGCTGCAGGATAATAAAAATCCCCTACATGACTTACATTAGTTAAGCAATGGATTGTTTGAGGAAGTGTCTGAAAGACACAATTCTGAGTAGAAATAATCACAATGAAGTCAACACCAACAGTGACCAAATAATTACATGTTCAACATAAGGGTAAGCTTCAATATACTCTTAGCTTGACTGAAAAAAGACACATATGTGCTAAAATAACAGAGGTCAACACATTTTTCTCATCTCCTCCTCTGGGAGTAATTTTAAGCAGAAACCTAGATCATGAATCTTTCCCATTTTGTGCCTGAAGCTGGGTGGAGCTGTAGCACTAACAATGTTATGTGTCCTTTCAGCAGTCTCTCAGGCAATGCTGATGCAATAAATAACACCCAGCAAAAGAAGTCACTTACTACTATTGTGCATCGGCTGAATACGTACAGGTATTAGTTCTTCTAACTCAGCTATGCAGCTCTCAATGTGACAGGCACCACAATGAGCCCCAAACACTGTCCGCCGAGCCCATGTGTCCTTTCAGCAGTCTCTCAGGCAATGCTGATGCAATAAATAACACCCAGCACAAAGAAGTCACTTACTACTATTTTGCATCGGCTGCATATGTACAGGTATTAGTTCTTCTAACTCAGCTATGCAGCTCTCAATGTGACAGGCACCACAATGAGCCCCAAACACTGTCCGCCGAACCCATGTGCCCAGCGTGTCGCTGTGCCGAGGGATGGAAACCCGGGCTGTTCCGAGCTGGGTGCTGTCCCAGAATGCGGCATGGGAGTCGGGGGATGCCGCCCGGGGATGTCCCGAGGGAGTCGGGGGATGTCACCCCGGGACGCAATCCCGGAATGTCCCGGGGTGTCGGGGGCTGAAGCTCCCGGGAGCCCCGCGCTGCCTCCGGCCGTACCTTCTCCCCACGTCCCCGCCCCGCCGAGCTCAGGTCGTCGCAGGCAGCAGCTCCACAGGCTTTCAGCTCCTCCTGCGTTTCCAGCTGCTCCTTCAGCTCCCACGGGATGAGGCTGAGCAGCGCGGCCAGCTCGCGGTTGGGCCGCAGGTGCTGCAGCTCGAAGGGGCGCCGGCAGAGCGGGCAGGCGGCGCGGGGCCGGCCCCCGCAGTAGCGCACGATGCAGCCCCGGCAGAAGCTGTGGCCGCAGCCCGTGAGCCGCACGGGCTCCGCGAAGAGCTGCAGGCAGCAGGAGCAGTGCAGCTCCAGCCCCTCCAGCTCCAAGACGGCGGCCATGGCGGAGCGCAGCAGCCGCGCACTTTCGATTCCCCCGAGCTCCTCCTCCGCGGCCGGGAATGCCCCGGGCGCGCCGGCTCTGCCCCGCTCTGGGTCTGCCCCTCTCTGGGTCTGCCTCGCTCTGCTCTGCCCCGCTCAGCTCTGCTCTGCCCCACTCTGCTGTGCTCTGCCCCGCTCTGCCCCTCTCTGGGTCTGCCCCTCTCCGGGTCTGCCCCGCTGTGTTCTGCCCCTTCTCTGGGCATGCCCCGCTCTGTTCTCTTCTGCTCTTGTCACCCGCCTTGGTCGCACGATTTGGGTTGCCGGTGGAAATGGACTGTGACGCAGAACTCTCTAGAGCCTGGCCTTCACTTTCATTTACTGTCCAAAAAGGTCCCCGTTATCTGCATATTTCGTTTCCGCCGTGAATTTCCCGATTTTGTAATAGTGAGAGTTGCTGACATGGGCAGTCTGCTGACCCAGCCGGGAGAGCAGTGGCACAGCACAGCACAGCACAGCCCTTGTCTGACTGAAGCCCAGGCTACTGGAGGGACCCAACCCTTCTGAGGCCATCCTGAGCTACTCAGGTCATCTCAAAATAACAATTAACAGTCAAGACTCAAGACTGGTATTGCTCCTCAACTCAAAAGCTGCTCTCTGTTGATTTCAGGAGCTGCAGGATTAGGCTGTTTCATAGAATTGCTGAGCCACCATGTGAGCTAGAACGAATGGGGATGTGTGGGGACAGAGCCTGGAACACAGGGAAGTTCATGGGAGCAGATCAATACATAAAACTGCTGCACACTACTCAGAGCTGGATGATGAGCTGGCTGAGAAAGGCAGAATGATGAACCAACTCAAACAATTCCTTTGCACTATTGGGCGAGTGGGGGTGGAGAGAAAGAAGAATTAGTGTCACTAATTCCTGCAAATATCGGCACTTCTCATTTCTGCAAAAAAAAGAACTATTTAGAGTATCTCAAGACCAGCTAGCAATTGTCAGCACAGGGTGGAAGCCTCACCAGAAACTTGGTCTGCAAGACTTCCTCTTGATTTGCAAAATAAGGCTATCTGTAAAGAAGAATGAAATGTGTGAATTACTTGCAGCTTGGTAGAACCAGAGCTCAGACTTTGTCTTGAGGCATGGAACACTCAGTGCTCTGAGTCAGCCAGTGCAATCTCCATCAGTTCCTGCACACAGTGGTTGGTACCTGATGAGAAGGCTCCCCTCCAACACTGAACACCAGTCCTCATTCACAGAGTATTTGCAAGCAATCACTGAAGAAAATACTTCTAAAACTTGCTTCTGCCTTTCAATGTTCAGTTTAATCAAGCTCATTAAGCTTTGTCTGGGTGAGCCAGATCAATGTGTGTTCATCCTTTACTCTCAACACATTCACTGGGGCACCGTGTGGGGTTGTGTTTTGGAAAAAAATCATTGGATGTTGGATTTGCCAGTCACATAAAAGCCAAACACTAGAGACTGCTGAAAGCAAGGAGCTAGAAGAATCTGTGTGATTCCATTAGAGAACTGATTCCATTACAGTATCCTCCACAACTTAAACTTGGCCTGGTTTTTTATTGTGCCAGAAATGTAGTGCTGTAAAATACATTCATCCCACTCTGCTGAAAACAACCCTGTTCCTGTGTGGCCAGAAGCTGCAGCTAGGTGGAATACAGCTGCCTGTGGACATCACAGTTGGGTGATGACTCCATTCAAGGCGTCCATCCACTCCCTCTGCTTCCTGTCATTCTCACAGATAAACACAAACTCTCTCACTGGCGTGACCAGAGTGATCACTGGCTTTTTCTTCTTCACCCAGACTTTCTGGGGCAAATCATCTCGTACTGCATATCCCTCATCCTTCCTTCCGATGAAAACCTGGCCCTGTGCAAATGCATCCTGGAAACAAGGAGGCAGAAGACACCCATTAGGCAGCAGACAGTGGAGCTCCAGCAGACACTGCCCTGTCCCTTGACAGGAACAGGATCTGGGGATGCACAGAGGGGAACCAATGACACGGACTGGTGGCACTAGCAGGGAACACACAAAGGGGTATTTTGCACTCACAGGCATTCTCAGGAGAAGGCAGGGTCCCACCCTAACAGAGCTGGTTGGTGGTGTTCAGAAGGGGCAGGAAAGGACGTTCCCATAGCTAAAGCAGTGCTAGGAAGCAGGACTGGAATATTGCTCATCTTGGCTAAGGTTACAGACACAGAGGCACTAGGGCTGGGGGAGAGGGGCCATGAACACCACAGGCAGTAGCAGTTACTTTTAAAAGATCTTTCTCAGAGCCACTCTACAGGCCAGAGTTCCCAACCAACTCAGCTTCAGAGACATCCTTTGGCAAGGGAGATGGGCTCTTGAGGCTGGGCCTGCTCCAGTCTGGCAGAGCCACTGGAAAAGGTGGATGAGAACAGGCCCTTCCTCCCCACCTGCTTTATGAAGGGGCTGTGGAACAAAGAACATTCCTCTTACCAGTGGATTTTTAAAGTATAGCAGATTCCTTTCCTGAGAATCCAAGCAGAACCAGCGTAGCTTAAAGGCCTCCTTCTGCTGCAAGGAAATGGTTGAAATTCTTTAAAGACCCAAGTCTCAAAGCAGACTTTAGTTTATTCAAATCTCTGGACCACTTAAATGACTTGGAGCTGGAGTTCAGCTTCCTTCATCCCTGCAACTGATAACAGGACTGCTGTGTGCAGCCCTCAGCTCTCTCTTTTCCCTGGGCTCAAAATACAGATTTACATTCAATGACAATCCTTTGGCAGAGAAGTAATCAAATTAACAGGATTAAGGAAGTTGCATGAAATGGAATGAAAGCACTGCAGAGAACAACCCCTGAGTGGTGATAGTGAAGAGAGTGAGCAATCAATTTCCAATTTCAACAATCTGATCAGGGAGGTTGTCCCTGGAATTTTGGGTGTACAATACTAGTTGGGTTTTTTAGGTGCTAATTCCATCAGCTACACTTACCTGACCATTCCTGGGCTATTAATTGCTCCAGGCTGAAATGAAGAGGCCTCTTCTAGGACTCAACTCAGTTTAAGCAGAATTTAGGCCTCAGGAGAAAAACACAAAATCTTTCATGCTCTGTGCAAGTACCTGCAGAAGAGGTGTTGGACACTGGCACAAGCTGGGCCAAAACTCAGCATATTCAGTATCAGCATTGCACTGCTGAACTTTATAATGGGACTTGGCTCATGGCTAACTCAGAGGAGAGCAAGGCAAGAAGTGGCTGTGCTCAAACAAGACCTCAGATCTTTATCTCCCCCTTCAGCAGTGCCCAAAACCCCACTCTTCTGTTCCAAGAGTGCTGGCCCAAACACTTCCCACAATAAAACAAACCAAACTATTGGCTTCACTGTAGAGAAATTTGCTCCAATGACACTTTGCTGCTCTAGGTAGATGTGACTTAAGTGCAACTGACTCTAAGTGAAACAGAGAAGTAGGGGTGGTCAGCACAGCATGTTCTGCTGTGGCAGGAGCTGCAGTTAGCAGATATAACAATCCATGTGGTGTTGTGTAACAGCACTTTTCATGTCCATTGGCAGCTAATCCACCTTGCTTACTCCTCAAGGATTCTTCTTCCCGATCTTATTTTCCACACAAAATAAAACATGATCCCAAAGAACATGACAGGTTTGAATATGGTGTCTTTTATCAACCCAGGAAGCAGAGAGTCACTGAGCAAATAATTTACAAGTCACGATATTGAACTACCAAATATTCTCTATCTGGAATGATCCTGTTTGTGTAATGTCAAATATGCACTTACTTTTGGTCCTGTCTTCTCCATATATCCTTCTTTGACAAAATTTCTTGTGATCCTGGGTATGAGCTAGGAGAACACAAACACAAAAAAAGTCTGTGTCTGTCCCACCCAAAACCAGGACAGGATGTCTCATTCAAGATTGCATTTCTGCTCTGTTTTTGTGGAAGTTAATCACCATCAATTGTGGCTTTTGGGGTCTGGGATTTTTTTGGCTGCTTGGTAAAGGGAAGTCTGAAGTAAGAAGGAACATAACATTTTTGACAGATTACACTGTGTAAGAATCACAAGGAGACTTTAAGGCCTTAAATGCTAACCAAGTTTTTGCGTCCATTCAGTGTGGCCTTTCCTTCTACCTCTCCTGTCCATTCCCTGGACCCAAGTGCTGTTTTTTAAGCACCTGACTCGGTCGGAAGAAGTGAGAAAATGTTTTCCCATGCTCTATTTGGCTAGACTGCTTCAAGCCCTGTTCAGCTCTCACCTCAGGCTCAGGGACATTTGGGAAGGTTGTTCTGAGGTAATGGTAGCGTGCTGCCCGAATAGCATTGAACCACTCAACAATCTCCTGGGAAAACAGCAAGCACAGACATAAAGATCAGCAAGAAGAGTAAGAGCACTGCTTCTCCAAAATGCCTTTCTCCTTCCTTCTGACCTCTTTGTAAAGAGGTCCTTTCTCCCCAGGGGGCAGAGTCAGTGATTTGTCCCAGACACCTGAAAAACACTGACCCTTGAAAATAATTTAAGAATGCCCCTCCTGGGAGGTCCAAGCATGTCCATTCTCAGCATGGACAGTCACCCAAGTCTGTATACACAGGCTTTTTCAGTTGATTCAGTTATGGATTGTTTAAAAATCTCTGTATCTGGAAAGACACAAGAACTCTGGTGAAGAAAGAAACAGAAGTCTAACAATATCTATAGAGATACTTTTTAAAATTATCATTGTTGGCTTGGAAATAATGCAGAACAATGCCAAGAATTTAACCATGAAATTGTGTAAAACCACGAGGCAGTTACCTTACAGAGATTTACATCATGCACCACTTCAGACTATGCAAAGGGTGAAGTTGAATGTATGCCCCAACAGAAAAGGAGCAGGATGCTACAGTTGGGAGTATCAAATTCTGCAACTTCCTATATTCTACAAGTCTTAGTGATGCCAAATAAAACCATATCTTGCACACAGTAACTCTCCCAAAATAAAAATCAAACATCTAAGCATCTTGCTTCCTCCAGAATCTCCATTATATTCACCTTTCCACTTTCATGATAGACAAAAAGGTTTCTTGTTTGACCATCTGTGATGTATGTGATCTGCAGCCCATGACTGTGTCCTATTTTCTCCACCTGGAACATTGCATTCAGAGTCTCAACGCTGATAACGGCTTTTGGAACTTTGGACTGTGAAATGAAAAGCATCACTGTATGAAAGTGCTCTCAGGGAAGGCATTGCAGGACAGATCACAGTGCACACCAGGGAAGGCATTGCAGGACAGACAGAGCTGTGTGAGACCTAGACCCTACTGAGAAGAAAGCAGACTAAAATATCTGAATATTGCACATATCTGAAACATAAAGCCTTAACTACATACAACACAAAACCACTTAAAAGATACCTTCACAAATGCTGGATCACTGCTAAAGAGGGATTGCAAGGGATAGGTCTATCTCCAGCCTCCCAGTCAGAGAGCACTTAGCTACAGTCTCTCACAGAAAGGAGTTGTGTTGAGGACCCTGCTGCAGGAGTTGATGAGAGGATATTTTGGTAATGTAAGAGGTAACAATTGCCAGCAGACCTCTTCTTTGTCTTGCTATTCAACTGCCAGTACCCATTTCCTTTGTTCACTAAGAAAGAGGAGGTTGCAGGATTGAGATAAAGAGAAAAAGAACTAAATCCAAAATTGCCCAATATACCACATATGTTAAAGGAGAAACGTGCACTCCTCTAAGCACAGGCTGGCCACAAAACTAGAAACAAAGCTACTTGTGCTGGGTTTTGCCCACAAAGAGCAAGTTCTGAGGGTGGGTGTTGACCTGCTACCTATGGCCAGCTCTGCCTGAAGAACTCACTTCTTTGCTGTAGTACTTCATCACCCCTTCCCTTGCTGACAGGAGAAACTGCCTCTTCTGGAACTGTCTGCGTCCCTTGCCAAGCTTCCAGAGGCATCCTTCACGGCTGCCTGCAGACCAGACAGAGAAGTGTCAGAGAAGTCCTGCACAAGGGCAGGACTATTTAGCTAAGGGTGATATGGCACAGTTTCAAGTCTCTTCTCCACCTGAGAATTTTCACCTCATGAAAAAATAAGTGGAAGAAATAGAGAACTATAAGATCTGAATACACCCTTGCACTTGTGTAAGTGCCTTCTCTTAGGAGTTTCTTCTCAAAGGTAGACTCAAAGCAGTGACTGCACATCCAGCAGTTCAAATATGACAAGTCAACCTTAGACATCTCCAAAGCTGCCAACAGAATATTGTGCTGTTGGCCTTGAGGCTGAGACCTCCCTGACAATCTTTTTACCTGCAGAACAGGGATCGTGGCAGACTCCATTGTCAAGAAATTGCCCACGCTCATATTTAGCTCTAATCCACTGCTGTCTTAAAACCCTGAAAGAGGAAAACATGGATAAAGCTGAGCTGTCTCTCCTCTAGTTTCAGCAGCCAGCCAGGGAGACATGAAAGGGATTGTCAAGAAATTGCCCACGCTCATATTTAGCTCTAATCCACTGCTGTCTTAAAACCCTGAAAGAGGAAAACATGGATAAAGCTGAGCTGTCTCTAGTTTCAGCAGCCAGCCAGGGAGACCTGAAAGGGCATCAAATGTAAAGGTCTGCAGCAGTGAATGCACCACAACTTACATGCAGTCATGGGACTTGGGGATGTAATAGTATGGAGGGACCTTTGCCTCATATTTAGCTTTGGCCCAGAGATTGCCGTGATTCCTCATAAACTGAAATATAAAATAAATCAGAGTTAGGTGTGCCACTGCAAATCAACACCATGCCATAAACATAGAATGAGACTTGTATCAAATGGAGTGCTGCACTTTTTTCTGAGTCCTGCCATAACTCTCAATGTGTATTTACATACATTTATCAATTCCTTTTAGCATTATAGTTTGCTGGTTTTAGGTAGATGCACCTTTTTCAGTATTTACAGTTCTGAACCATGTGTGAAGAATACAAAACTGTGGTTGTTGACAAAAAGAACAAAAGAAAATTAGGAAAAAATTTATATATGATCTCGCCATTCCTTCATCTCCTCCCAGATATTAACTGTGATTGTATTATTAACACAATTCAACTGAACGATGAGAGGCTGAACCAAAATTTAAGAAGAGTATGTTGCTTTCTTAATTGAACATACTACCAGGAAATATTTGTGGGTTTCTAAGCCACAGGGAGAAGTTACTGTATATACAAAAATACACACCACAGACTGTTAAGAACATGGTGGATGGCACAGAAATTACATGGCAGAAAGAAGGTTATGAAATGTGGAGAATTACTACTTTTTCCTCTATACCTCTATTAAATTGCTCTCCCAGAAGTCAAGCCGAAGGGATTTGACTCTGCTGATTTCAGGAAGATTGCGATGAATTCCAGAGCAATTCAAACAAATGAATATTCCAAGTTTGTAAGAAGCCCACTCTGGATCTAGATAAAAACACAAAGAATCAATTAATACACAGGAAAAGGCACAACCACTGGCTGTAAAGACCCACATCTGATGCACAGCCCAGGCTTCACACCTCCTAAATTCCTCAAATCCCCCCACTGTTTATGGCTGTGAGTTCATTGTGTTCAGGGGAACAACACCTGCTTTCCCCAGTGAACGACGTGCCCCTGGGTTTGTACCTTCTTTAACTGCCTCTTTGCTTTAAAATTAATGTGACTGTGCAGGCAGGTGAGTGGTGATGGAAGAGCTCATGAAAAGTTACTGTTGCTGAGTTAACAATGGAAGGCAGGTGCCGACAGCGCGCACTATCGACAGTACAACGGAGCGCTGCCTCCGAAGGCTCCTGCTCTTGCCTGCAGCAGCTTTGGCAGGTGCATCCGTACAGGCATTGAGAGTTCTGGCAAGACCACTTCCCTGGTGCGCCACCGCCCGCTTCTCCCTGTCACACTGAACGGAAGCAACCGGGCGCCTTCTCCGGCTCCCGCCCGACCCACCCGGGCGGGCAGCGGCGCAGCGCGGGGCTCCGCCGGGCTTTCCCTGCTTTTCCCTGCCCCAGCCCTCGGCAGACATTCCCCGAGCTGAAAATCCACCCGCGCACCCTCCTCCTCCGGCAGCCTCCTGCCCTGTCCGCAAATAACCCGGGGAAGCGCCTGGTGGTGAGGTCCTTTCCCGTCCCCTGCTGCGGTCCCCGAGAGCCGCGTCCGGAGCGGCAGCGCCGCGGCCCCGGCGGGACACGGAGCGAGGCCGGTCCCCGCACGGAGCGAGCGGACACAGCTGCGGAGCGGCTCGGCCAGGCCCGCACGGCGCCACAGCCGAGGCGGCCGGCCCCTCGCCACGGCCGGCAGCGGGACCGGGGCCCCGGGCGCTGCCCGGCGGAGCCGCCTCACCTGGCTCCCCGCAGTCGGCGCAGCGATCGTTACCGGTGCCGGCCGCCCTCTGCAGCTCCAGCAGCAGCGCCTTGTTGTGGTCGTAGTCCATCGCCGCCGGTGCTCGGCCGGTGTCTGCGGGAGGCTCGGCGCAGCCGGCAAATGAGGAACCAGAGCGGCCCCGTCCCCTCCCGCGGCCCCGGCGCCTCCTCCTGAGGCGGCTCGGGGCGCCCGCCCGGCGCTCCTGTCCCGGCAGCTTCCCCGCACTGCGCTGAGCGTTCATTACCGAGGGGCCTGTGGCCAGGAGGGCTCGTCCGGCACCTCCAGGCTCGCCTCAGCCCCAGCTTTCTCTGAAGTAATTTTACAAACTTGCCGGGGAACAGGACGGCAGTGGCGCTCCAAACACCCAAACAGCAGCGGTACTGGCGGGGCGGCGAGTCCCGCTCTGCAAACACGGCTCTGCCCCGCTGAGAGCGCTCAGCACAGGCTCGGAGGGAGCTCGGTGACACCGAGCAATGCCAGAAAAACTCTGCCCACGTAGCTCAACACAGGGACAATGCAGCCTTTCGCCTCACCTGGCTCCCCGCAGTCGGCGCAGCGATCGTTACCGGTGCCGGCCGCCCTCTGCAGCTCCAGCAGCAGCGCCTTGTTGTGGTCGTAGTCCATCGCCGCCGGTGCTCGGCCGGTGTCTGCGGGAGGCTCGGCGCAGCCGGCAAATGAGGAACCAGAGCGGCCCCGTCCCCTCCCGCGGCCCCGGCGCCTCCTCCTGAGGCGGCTCGGGGCGCCCGCCCGGCGCTCCTGTCCCGGCAGCTTCCCCGCACTGCGCTGAGCGTTCATTACCGAGGGGCCTGTGGCCAGGAGGGCTCGTCCGGCACCTCCAGGCTCGCCTCAGCCCCAGCTTTCTCTAAAGTAATTTTACAAACTTGCCGGGGAACGGAAGGCAGTGGCGCTCCAAACAGCAGCGGTACTGGCGGGGCGGCGAGTCCCGCTCTGCAAACACGGCTCTGCCCCGCTGAGAGCGCTCAGCACAGGCTCGGAGGGAGCTCGGTGACACCGAGCAATGCCAGAAAAACTCTGCCCACGTAGCTCAACACAGGGACAATGCAGCCTTTCAACCCCACTGAAAATGTTCTTCTTCCATGATAAAGCAAATGCCAAGAAATGGTGCCTTAATATTCTGTTTATCTAAGGCAAGAGAAAAGACAAAGAGAAAAATTTGAGACAAAATTTTTCAAGAAGGTTAATTAGTTCTGAAAAAGACTGAGGTATTCAAATATTTTTCTAGCTTTGGGTTAAACTTAATTTGCATTGCTATAGTGCAGTAGTGTACACAAAGCTTCTTTACTAAAGTTTATCTGCAGTCCTGTAAAAACACTGTAATTTTGTAAATGACTAAACACTACAGTAGACATGTATTGGCAGTTCCAAATAGTGAAACCCTTTTCCCATCTTCTAGGTACTAAATAATATTATGCCTTTATTTATTTGTAATGTTGTGAAGTTATAAAATGCACAGCAGCAGAATGTCTGAAAAAATTCTTCAGCTACTTACATAGAATCTCTTTTCAGCATCCCCCCTCTAGGAACTGTTGCATACTGGAATGTAAATGTGGATTTAATTTTCCCCAGGTAATCTTGCAAGCCATACACCAAAGCTTTTTGCTGGCTTAATTTTTGTAGTGTCCTTACAACTCCTGTGGAATAAAAGGAACATTTTGTATGACATTTGGGGAGTGGTTATTTATATATATATTTCACAAAGACTTGAGACAGTCTTGCTCTTGAAGGGGTCCTTCCCTTCTCCAACTTCTATCCTGCAGTAGCATTAACACAGCCTTTGGCTCATGCTTGCAACCCTAACTGCTTTTTCTGTATCATTCATGGGATGGTAGAATAATGTCACCCTAATTTACATTCTGGAAAGCAATATTGGCATGACAGTAAAGATAAAAAAAAGCTTGAAACTTGGCTGAGATTTCCCCAAGAAGAACAAGGTTGTTGGTTTTGGTTTTAAGTTGCTGTATACCTACTAATAGATGCTGAATGGCAGAGTCATTGTGAAACTCCAGGGTTGTGTTTACTTCTGATTTCAAGACACAGAAGTTAGCTGGAGGGGCAGTACATAAAGGACTAACCAGGGCCCAAACTATTGCAGGAAAATATTTTGCATCAGAAGCAGTGAATTTCACAGTACTGGAACAGAGCTTGTGAAGCATTTCCTTCCAAGCAGAGTTAGTCAAAAGCAGCCCCAGGTCCCTGTTCCTCAAGCCCATCCCTCCTGCAAACCTGCTTTATTCTAGCATACAATAGATGCTCATACCTGATGCACAAAAATCCAAAGGTGCTAATTTATCAAAACTCAAATCATCACACACAGATTATCTTTCATTCAGAGTATCTTGAGGTGATTTCATGTGGTAAATATCTGCTCTAGAAGGGAAATACTCGAATTCCACCTTACCTTGTGGACACCACAGCAAATTCTGTAAACAACTTCTTAAGGCAGTTATTAAAACCAGAGAGCTGACTTCAAAAGAAGGTAAAATTGTCTCTCACTGCTTGCTAATTTGGGTCTTTCAAATTATCCCTGAATTTCCTAAAATACCACTTCTTTACAGGACTTGTTTCTGGTTTATGGAGGTCCTCACTGTAATCTAGTTGGATTGAAGTGCCCTTAGAAAGCAGTCAACAGATACACTTTTATAATTTTTAAAAAATTAAAAATGTGTATTTATTTTTACAAATCATATAGGAGAAGCAGAGACTGTTGATACAAAAAAATCAAGCCATGAAGATTTTAACAGCCACCACTATTTTTTTGATAATTCTCGACTATGGAAAGAGTAAACCATAAAAATTATATACAGTGCAGAAGCTTAAAATAATTTACTGTTTCCATAAACATTTCTAATTCCTGAACATCTTTAACACATGAAAAATGTAAGATAAGACCAGAACTAGGAAACAGCCTTCCTTATTTTTACAGAGACACTGAGGTAAGTGGAGCACCACTGCATGGCAGCAGTCTGACTCAATTTGAGGAACAGGAACAGTCCAACTGCAAAGAAAAGGCAGAAAAGTACATGGTTGAACAAATTCCAGTTTTAAAACCCTTTAAAAAATATGTTTCAGGAGTTTTACCTTTCATGCAACGGAAACATTGAGATTGTAGCAAAGTCTCACAAATTTATTGTCGTATGAAAACGGATTCAATCACAAATAATCAGGCTGAAGTCTTGTCAAATACAAAAAAAGGAGCTTAAGAATAGAACACAATATACAAGACTAGAAGTAGTTAAATATTCCTGTATCCAAAGTAACACCGGGATAATTGTTATTTACAAAATCTTGCCTAAATCTCTTGAGACCATGTTGAGCTACAGTAACAATTTCTCTACTTTTTTTGGAGGTTAACATGCAGATCTGACAGCTGTAAACAATGGAAGGAATGTATACAAATATATGTACATTGAGGCATAGTGCTTTGTAAGGACTTTGTCCCCTGTGGTCAGAGTGAAGAGTTGGTTTTAGTAATTTAGTCTTTGGAGGACTTGTTGCATCCTCTCTGTGCCCCCTCCCACCTGGAGTTATTTATCACTAACTGCAAACTCAGAAACAAACTTGTTTGAACAAAACAGTCTCCTCAGAAAACAGCAACTTTGATGTGGAGGTTGTGACAGTTGGTTGTTACAAAAGGACTTCTTGCTATGTGATGCACAAATTACAGAGAAAGAGAGCAAGAAGTCCCCACTGAATAGTTTGTGCATTTAATATTATGAATGCCCTTACTGGACAAGCACCAAAAAAACCCACATTTCAGCTGTGGAGAGCAGTATAATGACAATAGATATATACATTATTTTAAATAATTATAAAAATTTAATATACAAATGGCTCTGAATATACAATAATGTGGTAATTAAAAAAAACCCCAAACAAACTATGGTGAGAATACCACCATTAGGCACAAAGTATTTCTGGTGTTGGCAATTTTAAGGGAAGTCCAAAGACAGACCATTTATCGTTTGTCTGGGTATTTCAAGATGAATCCCTTCAAGATAATGCAAGAACCTATTAAAAAAAAGTAAAAAAGATTGTTAAGGGAACAAAGTTATTTCCAAATATAAGGCAACACTTTTATTATTTTCAGAGACAAATGTCCACCTTCCTTGCCTAGAATTATTTCACAAATTATTTTATTAAAATCCTTAACTACCTTCTATAATGAAATGTAGCAATATTTAGGAAAATCCAAACTTACCTTCTTTTAGTCTTCTCTTGCTCTTTAAGCTTCTCAGACCTGCAGATACTGCGGAGAGTGGGGAGGTATTCAAGGGTACTGGCTTGCTTATTGCCCAGGTTTAAAGGACTTCTGGAAAATACAGTTTTGATGACAGCCATCCTCTTCTGTGCTTTTTTGTGAGTGCTAAAACAGAGAATAAAGCTTTATTGTTTCTTATTCAAGAATGTGCAGTGATGATTTTATTTCTTTAGGATCAAAGCTACTGGTTTAAAACTCCGTTAAATTGATATCCAGAAGTGCATCCCAGTGGATCAGATCTGCAACTTCTAACTGTATGCTGCTTACACAGCATCACAAAGCTGCACCTGGACAGAAACACCAGGACCAGCAGTTTGTTTGGCCAAAGCTCCCATCTTAATTAGGAGTCTGATCTGGTGAGCTCTTCAGTCTAGATACAGATGTGAGGTTCAGTACAACCACAACTGAAAGCATCTGTGGTCTTCAAAAAGAAAAAGCATTATGCAATTGGTATTTGCCAGAATTTTGGTGTCAGGTCCAGTGTCTAAGCCATGACAAAAACCTGGCCACAGGATGCATGGTCAGATCCATTCTGCCATTGCTCCTCTGGGTACTGATTTACAGAAGAAAGGCTCTAAGCCATTTTCCTGTTCAGACCCCTGAATGGGCTTTAAGTGCCCACTGTGCCAATTTTACCAATGATGACTCGTTTATGTTAAAAACAATGTTCCATGCCAACACTTGATAGTATTCTTTGGTCTTTTACAATGTACTAAAGGCTATTCTTTGTTAGCATAAGTTACTACAAAGAATTTACTTTGGATTTTGTTAGGTCTTCATCAAGCAATACCTACCAACACACTTAACGTGCATTCAGTATGAGCAAGTGACAAATTTGCACATTTGGTAGTTGCAGAATCCCCTCTGTCTTGAAAAAACTATTCCTTTAGGGTTCTGTTATTCTTTTGGGGGTGGTGGTGCTGTTTGTCCATTTTTAAAATAACTAGACTAAGGCCACCATTCCTTAAAAACATTAGTCAGGCTGTTCAAGAAAAGTCACTTTTTGCAGATTGACAAGAAGTTAATTTAAGGTTGTAAAAGCAAAATGAACAATATACTGCAGTGTTTAGAGGCACACTGACAACAGTCATAGTGGTATGAATGTGCATACATCAAATCTGAAACAGTCCTACACCCTGTGAAATGCTCTTCTTGACAAATAACTGCATTACACTCCAGAAATGTTAACAAAGCCTTACCTTGAATCAGCTGCCTGACTGAAGGATATGCAATTCCTTGTGTTTGAGACAGGCAGAGTAAGTCCCTTCAGCTGATCACTTTCAGGTGTTTTACTCGTAGTTGAAAAGGATTCCAAATTTTGTGAAATATTAACAGAACTTTTAGTGAAGCTGAGTGCTTCAATAGCTGCCTTTATTTCACTACAGCTCTGGGAACTCCACCAATCAGTATTTTCTATACTGAACTCATCACAAAGGCCATTCCTGATTTTGGCATTTGTCCAATGAAATTCCTCACTTCTAGAAAACTCCAGTGGTTCCCTGGTGTTAGTGTTTACACAGCAATCCAGGAAGGACATGTCTTCCACAAACTCAGTCAGTGACTTTAGACACTGAAAAACAACTGCAGACCTCCTTTCGTTTACTGAGGTTTTAGTTTTAACTTCTTTTTGTTCTTTATGCACCAACAATTTTGATTCCTTTTTATTCATTTCAACACATGATTTAGGACTGTCTG